AAAAAAAAAAAAAGAAAAAAAAAAGAAAAGAAAAAAAGCAACACTTTTTTTTTTAAAATTTTCTTCACAATAAAATTGAATAATAAATTAAAAAAAAAAAAATTAATTAATTAAACCCATAAACCTTTTTAAAAAAAGGCTTTACTTTATCATTTCTTTCTTTCTTTCTTTCTTTCTTTTTTTTTCTTTAATTTTTTTTTTTTTTTTTTACAATCAATTAAATAATCAAATTAGAAAAAAAAAAATACAAGATGTGAAAATTTTTTTAATTAATTTAATCGTTCCAGATTTAGAATTCGGCAAGACAATTATTATTAACGTTGTAATATTAATAATAATAATAATAATAATAGAATAATTAAATGAATAAATAAATAATAATAATAAAAAAAAAAAAAATCGATTTCATGTGTAATTTTATTTTCGATTTTAAATAATGACGACAAACAAAAACTATAAATAAATTTGTTTTTCTTTCTGTTGTTTTCCTTTTTTTCACTATACAGCTCAATTTTTTATAAAACTTATTATAATTATTATTATTATTATTATTATCAAGCTATTTTTTTTAATTCAAATTATTAATATTATTATTATTATTATCATCAAGTTTTATTATTTAAATAAGCAGAAAAATATATATATATTTTTAACTATTGATTGACATCAAAAAATAAAAAGTAAATAAATAAATAAAGGAAATTTTTTATTTTAATTTTAATTATTATTATTATCATTATTATTATTATCATTAGTTTTTCTGGTTTTTTTACTTCATATTTTTTTTTTAGTCAACAAATAAATATATATATATATAATGTATATAAATTGTACACTGAATGAATGAATTTTTTTTTAATGGGTGTTTAATGATTAACATAATTTATTTAAAAAAAAAAAAATGTGACAAAAAAATATTAATCACATTACTTAACTTCTTCTTCTTCTTCTTCCCTCTTAGCAAACTTTATTTTCTTTATTTTAATTTTGATTTAAAAAATAATAATAATAATAATAATAATAAATATAATTAATTAATTAATTAATTAAACAAAATGATGAGACTAGGTTAATCGATCAACTTTAAAATTATGATAAAAG